GGGGCCTTTAATTAGAAACTACAAAAGAACGTTTGTGGCATTAAAGTCATCCAGTCATATTCCATTAGTTATGTGTGGCCCCATGTGGGGCCAAGTTCTTTCATTTAGTTTCTCAGACACAGTGGGATTTTTGTAAAATTAATTATATTGTGTTACACTGAAGGCATACCTCCAGATTATTTCCGATACAGGCTTGCTGTGATATAGATTTGACAAGGGTCGGGGCAAGAATCCCCATTTTGGACAGCGGTTAGGCTAGAATGATGAAGAGGAACAGTGATGGCTGAAAGCTTGCTGGGCCTCCTTGTAATGCAGAGTTTGCCATCTGTTGTGCCGTCTCATTCATTTTTATTAAATTGATCGCCTTAATCTGGGGAGAAAAGATATGTTTGTGTCTGTCAACCTCAGCTCCATTTACCTTATAATAAACACTTCTTTCCTCTTCTCATTTTTCTTCCCAGCTGTCAGCCAAGTTGGCCACCCTTCAAACGCTCATTTCCATGAGGCTGGAGTTCCTGAGAATCATCTGCAGCCACGAACATTATCTCAACCTGAACCTCTTCTTCATGAATGCAGACACTGCGCCAGTGTCTCCCTGTCCCTCCATATCCTCCCAGGTAATCAGCTCACTGAAAGAATTAGCCAAGCTATTTCACTGAATTAGCTTAGTTTAGTTATTTATTCCTAAAAGGGTGGGTGTTCTTAATTAGATGAAAACTCAAGCTATTCAGACAGATCAACTGTCCAGATACACACAAGTTATGCTGCCCAGAGTTGTACCATCTAACTAATCATTTACAAGCCAAGTGATTGGTTTTTTCTAGGCTCTATGGTCCCTGCTGAGGCCAAGTAGAGCAAGGAATCCATATACATGATGAAAATTGAGAAATTTGTAGAAAAATCACGGACCTCCCTTTGTCTGACATTCATCATCTTTTTACTGTAGCTTGATAGTCTCCTTTGTTCACGTCCCTTTTCCTAAACCCCAGCACCATACAATTTATGAAATTGCAGGTTCCTTTGTATTGGTTCCAAAATGACTCAATAGTGGTTTTNTTCAGGAAAATGAACAGGCAGAAAAAATGAACATCAGTCTGGCTTTCTTCTTGTATGACCTTCTCTCACTCATGGATCGTGGCTTTGTGTTTAACCTCATCAAACATTATTGCAACCAGGTGAGTGTTCCCACAGACACAGCCATGTTGTTCCTGGTTCCTTGTCGTCTGATGTGATGCTTATTACCGTGGTATGCTCTCTTAGTCATTGCCGAGTTAGACAGCTTGACTTGTACATTCTGGGTTTTGTATCCCTAGATACATTGGTTTGCATGGATTCCTAGAGCATGCATCAGCCCAGCACAGAAGGGTCAGCAAGTTACACTACAGGAATTGAAATCTGTTACTGATATGATCTGCTTTCTTCTATTTAACATTTAACAGAAATTACATGACTGTAGCATTCAGTCTTTGACCAGGTATAGATTTCAAAGCATGAGGTCTCTTTTCACATTTTAGGGTAATTATTGGGTTTTTGGAAAAGTCATGACGTATTTTTTCTATGTATTTCGTTGCAAAAATGCATCATGACTTTTCCGACAACCCAATAATTAAATTGAGGTTGTGAAATTCTGATTGTAAAGAACCCTGCTAAAATAAAAGAAACTGTATTTCACTGTGCACAAAGCAAATATTTCATAATCCAAGAGTGTCTTATCAATGCCATCTCCCCCAGTTTTTAAATGGGATTCTTCTTGCATTCACTGTCCCTTTCAAATCGTCCCAACCACAGTAATACAAATAGCAGTTATTATTGTTCCCGCTCCTTTCCTTCCAAATTTCTATTTTAGCCACCACTACAACTATCACCTCCTCTATCACCGCTACGCGCCACCATTGTCATCACCTCCGACTCCCGCTGTCACTGCCACCCACCACCTCCACCCACATCACCACCTCCCTTCACCATCACTGTCACCACCACTGGTTTCTTCCTATGGACCAAGCATGCTGTTAAGCTCCTTATAGAAATCATGTCACTTAATCTTTGTAAGGTGTTATCAACATTTTGCAGATGATAAAGCTAAGGTTTAGAGGAAGTAACGTAGCTTGTCCAGAGAGGAAAGAGCTATGTCTGCCTCACTCCAAGGTACAATGGATTCATCACCCTGTGCTACCAGGCCTGGCTCTCGGTGTTAATCCCTTGGTGACTTTAAATAAGTCTTTCA